TCTTTCTTTCTTTCTTTCTTTCTTTCTTTCTTTCTTTCTTTCTTTCTCCTCTCCTCTCCTCTCCTCTCCTCTCCTCTCCTCTCATATAAACTTCCTAACTGGGATGCCATAAAAGTTATTTTACCACTTTAAAAGCCCCAGTATAACTAGTATTCAAAGTTGGTTTTGTTCATTTCTTTCCCCCACTAAAAATAGTCCTAGAATATCAGGTCAAATATTATACCCTTTGGAAATATTATGTAAAAAGTTATGTTTGGTTTGAGATGGTCCCTACATGTGTTGCGTGTATGCCCATGTATCACAGTTTGTCCTTTGAATCCAGATTCTGGATTCAAATAAAATAAGGTCATGTCTGATGCGTGCGCATTTTTGGTGTGTCTTACAAACTATCATATCTAGTTTCCTAACAGTAATTAAAAGTTTGTCTCAATTTCTCCACAGTATTACTCCCTATGTGATGTGGAGAGATGGGGAACCTATAACCTCCAAATTACAGCTCCTAGCAACCTCCTGCCAACAATGGTCTGAAATTGGAGATACAGGGAACTATTATTTGAAATTATATTATTTTCTAGAAGTACACTCACTAGAAAAAATAAGTTGTATCCCAGCAAGTACTTTTGATAGCTTCTAACTGGAGGCTCAGCTACCTAATGAGATAAGCATTGGGCAATAATTTCTCTTGCATATACCCTCTGCACTTCCAAGCCATACCAAGAGGGAGAGTCATAACCAGGAAGAAAACAAAAAGAACCAAGAAAATACAAGTCAGGGAGTTTATCCAAGGAGTCTCTTTGGCAGCCTTGTACTTAATCTTTAACATCAGTGCACAAGAGTGAATATACTCAACCAGTGCTTAGGGCATTGAGTTCAATTAACTATATGGCTCAAGAGAGTTGGGTTAAATGACCTTGCAGAGAGATGGAGTGATAGTTCTTTCAGCCTTTGTGTGTTTTGTGTGTGTGTGTGTGTGTGTGTGTGTGAATGACAAAGAGAGAAAGCTTAGGAATCCAAAGCCTTTATTCAAGCCTTTTCAAAGTTGGGAGAAGGGGAAATGCAAGAAGAAGGACTGTTACACACTGAACACTTACCAGCCAATATACCCTGGCAGAAAATGTGGAAGTGGGTGAAAGGAAACCATGATAACAAAGGGATAGAGATCTGTTCACAAAAGGAATATTTGGTGCTTGAATTCATGTCCTTTAGGGGACAGAGTAAGCCAGCAAGTCTATTGGAGTACTTTAAGTTTGTGGCAGCCATGACACTCTTAATATTTAGTGAAATGTGGCTGGAGTAGAAAACAGGATGAGTGAGTCAACCTTGAGCTGGTGAGTATCGAACTGCCAGCAGTTGGCAAAATTAGCCTGTAATACTGCATTCTAACCGCTGTACCATCATGGCTCTTAATATAGCCTTAAAGCTGGCACCCATATGTGTATCTGTGTGCACGCTAAATAGATAACATCGATGTGGAGGATAGATAGACAAAAAAAAAAATCTCAGAAAACTGGCAATTCTTGCAAGATGTTCACATATTTGAAATTTCATGAGATTTTGACACTTTTGTCTGATGTCAAGATTTCAGGTGAGAACGCCAAAATGAGATTTATAAATCTCATGAGATTTCTTAGTCTCCTGAAATGTTAGCATTTAACTTCATTTTATTTATTCCATTGTCTATAGAATTGAGCTCTACCAAATACCTTTAAAGCAGCGGCCCCCAGCCTTTTGGGCACCAGGGACCAGTTCTAGGAAGAGAGGTTTTCCGTTGACTGGAGGGGATGTGGTTTTGCATGGAGCCTGCATCCCGGGGATGGGGCTTCCTTTGTTTGCATGGCCCGGTGTTGTGGACTGTCGGCCATTGGCCCCTCCAGCAGCCGAATTAGAGGAGGAGGAGGAAGCGTGGGGGTCAGGCTCAGCATCAGAGCAACCTGGGAGCTCCAATGGGGAAGTGGGAATGGAGCTGGGAGAGAGGGACAGAGAGAGGGAGGGACAGAGAGAGAGAGGGACAGAGAGAGAGTTTGTTGTGTTTGGGGAGCTGGGTCAGAACACCCAGTTCTGGCATGCCGTGGACTGGTGCCACTGCACAGGCCAGGGTTTGGAGACCCCTGCATTATAGGAGCTTGCATGTCCCATGGGCCATTGGTTGATGTGCTGGTCCTCCAAAGCTTTTAAGGATGACATTGTGAACCATAGGAAAGAAACATATGCAAAGTGGTACTTTTTTGAGTCTTCAATCTTTCTAGTTAGTTGGATTGCAGAGAAAGACTTGCTGTCTCTGCCCGTTCAGACACACTTCTATTCTCGGTTCTTCTCTTCCACGTAGAGTTCACCTGTTGCCAGGATTGATCCCTGGTGCAAATTACAACATGAGTGTGACAAGCAGGGTGGAAAGAAACTGGCTGATACTCACCCTCCTTCTCTTCCATAGGCCAATCTCTGTCTTTGTTTGAGTTAATGTTGAAAAAATGAGATCCGGTCACATCTCAGGGATATTTCCCAGCATAAATGTTTCCCCAGAGCTCTAAGTTCAGTGGTATCTCCAAAGACAAGCAATTAATACTAACTTATCATCTGTTTTATCACTGGTCTATCTTTCCCAACAGCACAATTATCCACACAGAATGGCAATCCCAGCCTGTTAGGCTTGTATTGTTAAAAAAAAAAAAATCAGCAATGTAACCTCTGTCCCCTTGCTTTATTTAGAGGCCTAAGGGGAGCAGCATATATTCCATTCCAATCCAATCTATTCTTCGACATTTTCCAGAAATGGATGACAGGACTGGATCAGCTGTTTCCTCACTTGCTATGTACTATTCAGTATGTGCCAGAAGCTACAGAGAGAAGATCCTCTTCCCACCTGGCCCTCACTATCTTTATGCCTAATTTATCCTCTTGGGAATCCTTCCAGTTGAACTCAGTTACTTGTTTAGCTTCTAAAAAGTTTGGCAAACTATAGCATCGGTTAAGAAGGACATCAAAACTAACGTGGCATGAATCACAAGAGTCTCAGTTGACAATTCCTACCAGCCCAGATTTTGGCATTGCTTCATATATTTATTTATTTTTTATGTAACCTCCTTTCAACAAAGTCATTGAAGAGACTTGTGTATTGGTTAAAAAGCCAGGTTGCTGATAAGCCAGCTGAAAGTTTCCAGCTGTTTGCTTTTTCAAAGTCCCATTTTCCAGATTGAAGGTGCCTATATCTTTTTAAACTAGACCAGATTTTGTGGTCTGACCAGAAGAAAAAAAAAAGTAGCTTGTTAACCACATACAATTTGTTCTGCTAAGATTTGAATATTGATAGGCTTCCCAAAGTGAATTTGTGCTAATTCTGTAAATAACTTTGGAGGGGGGGGGGATGAGATTTTGTCAAACAATTTTTTTAAACTTATTCTCAGATTTCAATAACAGTATGAGCCCTCTAAGTCCATTCAGTGCTAAGTAAGCAGAAAATTGAGGTTAATGATTTTCATTATGATAGTTTAAGAAAATGTATTTTAAAATCAGCAGAAACAGAAATTAGAAATACCTTCCATTGGCTGGGTAATCATATCACCCTTCTTTCTCAACCACATTAAATGTGCGTAATTGCATTCTAGCACAAATTGTAGACCGTGATAGACAATCATTCTTGACTTTATCAAAGTTTTTTGCATACTTCACAATTTCAACTGGTACATACAACAGTAGAAAAATGTCTGTACATTTTAAATGTACATGTATAAACATTTCTTCTGGCTACTTTCAAAGGTACAGAGGAGGATTCAGTGATCAATTAAAACAAAATGATTGCTTAGTCTTTTTTAAAAAACTTTTTTATTGGACAACTTTCTTAACAGATTGTCAGAACACTGTAGATATATTTGTGGTTTCTAGCAAAGTATTTGAAATGCCTTGTGATTGATTGCAGGATAATTTTCCCAGGGGTATATTTGAGTTGGAGACAAGAACACATTGATTTAAAACACAAATTACTTATTAGACAGATTTAAAGAGGAGATTTAAGTCCTTCTGTATACAATTATACGATTTTCTGCATACATTGTGAGTAGATAACACAGATAGTTGAGTATAAACAATAGTAAGCATTTGATCGCATATATATCACATCATGTGCTTAGTCAGTTCAGGGAGGCAACTGGAGTATAATTATGTAGTAATGGGACAGGACTACAAAGACAAAGACAGGACTACAAAGACAATGTTTTCAAAAACAAAACAGCAGCTATTCCAGGAATAGTTATTTCTAGAGAATTTCCTTTTTCCGCTTTTCCCATGCTTTGCTTGTCTCCCAGGATCCTTCTCAATCTAGCAGAATTTCATGGCCTTCTAAATGTGTTATAGCTGAACTGACAGTTTTAGTTTCCTTGAGAAAGAACATTTGAATTAGGAGCTTTTAGCTTGACACCCCATCCTAAAAAAAGTTTTAAGAAACTGATTACCAAACTAGTTTAAACATGGGTCATACTGTATAACTATGAGGTAAATCTATAATGGGCTTAAAAAGTATTAACAGAGGACTTACCAACGATACCACTTTAAACTGAATAAAAGCCAGTTTGATCTAGTGTTTAAGGTTAGAAAACAGGAAACTGTGAGTTTTAGTCCTGTCTTAGCCATGAAAGTCTGCTGGGTGCTTTGGGTCAGCCCAATCCACCTCGCAGGGTTGTTGTTATGGGGAAAATAGGAGGAGGAAGTGTTGGATGTGTTTTCCACCTTGAGTTATTTGTAAAAATAATAAAGATGGGATTGAAATAAATAAATAAAATAATGCTGTGTCAACTGCATTCCTATTCATATAACATTAATTCTGTGCCTAACAACCCATCACCATTGTTGTAAATGGACTAGATGAAATGCTAGAGGAGGGTTAATCAAATTGACAGATAGTACAGAACTGAATGGAATGGCTAATACTGTAACAGACCAGAACAAATTCACAACAATCTTGATCGTTGGATACATGCTTTGAAAAATAACATAATATATTAACAGAGGCCATGCAAAGTCTTTATATAGGGAAAATAAATCAAATTCAACATCATGGGATGGGATAGCTGGCTGTATAATAGTTTTATAAAGAGTATTAGAATTGTGGTTGGTGAACATAACTCAATAGTGTGATACAGCATCTAAAAAGGCAATTAGCCTTACCTTGTTTCAGCAAAAACATAGATTCCAACTCAAGGAAGAAATAGTGAGCTTCCATGACTGAGGATGGATTTGGGCCTGTATCTTTCTTGACAATATTGGCTCTCAGTCATTAAAATGGCTTGAAATCCAAACAAAATCTAAAATGGAAGAAAAGCTAGCAGTTGCATGAAGTACAACTTGCACTTGTTAAACAAACTGTGGAGCTTTATGCAAATTGCCTCAACTTTCCAGACTAAAGGAAAACTGGATGAAAGAGGAGGAATAACTTTAACTGGATCTCTGAAAATCCCAGAGATTCTTTGATCCAGTTAATTAAAGCTAAATTATTCCTCCTCTTCCATTCAAGCTTTCATTTAAGAATAAATTGAAGGAAATACACTCATTCCTCCATTGTTCTGGCTTCAGGAAGGTTATTCTGGAAAGTTCACTTTGTCCTGTTTGTGAATGCTGATTCAGGTAAGAACATTTCTAAAGTTAATTCTGGAACTACATGTCAGGCTGACCTTTCAATATGATTTAAGCTTGCAGAAGATGTAGGCCTTGCCTATATTCTTCCAAGACCTAGAAAGAAGGATTACAAATTGTTCTTGCATAGTATGATATAATCCATGCATTCTATATAATCCTATGTAGCCTTGAGAAACTTTGCATTCTTCCATTTGTAGAAAGTTAACACCCACCCTTCTCCTAGAAAAATGAAATATTTAGGAGATATTAAAAAGGCAAAATATTATATTTCCCTAGATGAGAAAAGGAGAAACATGTTTTTAAAGACAAAACAGCTCCCTGCAACTCCCTGACCATGTTTTCAGCCCCAGAGTGATGGGATTAAGATATGGCCCTCAGGACATGATAGGATTAGCCCTCTACCCATCTCACCACATGGCACCTAGAAAGATTGCATCACCTAGCAAGATTCAACCAAGCCTGGTACTCAAGACAAACCTACAAAGTTACCCCTGCATGGCTCATGGGAGTCTGACAACCAGTCAGAATACACTTCTTTCACAGGAACAGGAAGCAAGTTCAAAGCCCAAGGGTATAAATCTCTCTTTCTCACCCATGTGCTCAATTGCCCAGGACCTCAAACCATGTGGTCCTGTCCATCATTAAACCATCTTTACAAACAGCTTCCATGTTTCCAGTGTCTTTCTCCCCACTTGGAACTGAACCCAGATGGACATTTCTTCCAACACATTCTTCCTCTTGTTTAGTTACATGAACCTTGTGTTGAAGAATAAATATTATCAAGCACTACAAATAATTTTGCATCTTGAAAGACATCCAGTTTCTTCAGTCAGCATTGCAATGCTGAATTCTTACCTATGTACTACAATGGTGCCCAACTGAGAAAGATTTCAGCTGATTTTAGGGGAAGCAAAGATAAACGTGGATGTAAAATTTAGCAGAGATGATTTATTCAACCTGGAGACTGAGGCATTTATATACAGGGATATTGTGGTTGATTTTGCAAAGAGTTTTGCAAATACAACATCATCTCTACTGCATGCAAGTTAGTAGTTTGAGCCACGTTTGTTTATTTAAAAAGAAGGCTTTCCAACTCCCTGTTGCAATCTTTATCACTGAAGGAGGCTTCTGTCTAATCTCTTATATACTGGTAGTGTGTGAGAAGGAGGGGGAGAGGATATTGCAAAATATACTCTTTACACATGCTACTCCTGCTCAGTGATTTCTCCAACACGCGAATTGCTCCTTAAACTAAAGTCCTTTTCTGAGGATAAACTTTGATCATTCCATTTATTACACTGATAATTACCATTGTTTGAAGGAATTCAATAAGTAACACTTCTACAAAGTATCTTAAAATAGATCACATGGCTGGGTCAAAATCAGTTTGTGAGTTTCAAGGGATGACCCATATGTGAATCTTCACAATCATAAGGCTGTCATTATATCAGCCTTCCCTAGTCTGATATCCTTCAGATGGGTGTGGATGGAACACATGGAAGTTATAGTCCCACTATTCTGATGACAACAGGCTAGGAAAGCTGCCTTCATTCATAATCTTCAACTCATTTTTGGAACTACTGAAGAAAAGGACCTTTGTAAAGGCCTCCTTCCCATTTTTCCTACATTTCATCTGGTTTTATTCTTAGGTATGTTTAAAATCAAAACAAAGGAAGATAAAAGTAGATATTTGGAAGGGGAAAAAAAGAGGACTTGCAATGAAATGTGGCAATGTGGAATTCCACCTTGGCAGCTCCTTTGCCACGATTCTCCATTCTGCACCCTGCATTCCAACAGGCAGGAAGCCTCATAATAGCTACTGAATATTCACATTTGGCTCTCATTGACTATTACTAAGTTTTCCTCATTAAGATCATTTAAGAGGGACATGCTGCAAATCCTTGGATTTTTCCAAGCCTTCTTGTTAGTTCACTCTTCTGAGTAGTTGAAGATTTTCTTTCCACATAGTTCCTCAGACCCAAAGTTCGGAAATGGGATGAAACCTACCCTCCCACCTATCAATGTGTGTCCCCTCCCTACTTCCTGTTCTACGCATCTCTGAACTTACCCTATCATCTACTTAGAAGGATGCAAGTTCTGAGGTCCCTGATGTCATAAAGCCTTTAGCTGGAAGAGAGTCAAGACAAGAGCAACCATTGATGCCAAGAGACAACTAACTGCCTCCTTGGATGGCGGGTGTTTCTGCTGCATGCATTTTTCAGGTATGATTGTTCTCTTTGGTAAATCCCTAATCATGGCTGAACTAGAACAATTCAACAGAGGCCACGTGGAATGTAAGATGGAACAATGATTCTGTGTTATTGAGTCACTTCTATAGGTGAAAGGTAGTGTTAAGTATGGAGAATAATGGAGACCAGACATCTGACCAGTGACTTCAACTCTTTAATAACAGTAATTAGAACAGAACAGAGCAAGGCTATGGGCAGCAGTAACCCGTTTATAGGGTTAGCTGCTACCTTATTACCCAATGAGATGAGCAACAAGTTCAAACTAATAATCAATAAGAATAGTCCAAATAGTGGCCAATCAGGGACTAGTTCTGGCCCAATCCAAAGTTGTTGTATAAGGACCAATCAAGTGTGCAGGTTTTCAAACTTGATTTGCATTTAAGTTATTAACTTTTATTGATTCACAACAGGTAGGCACTCCTAGATACATAGGAAGAACTCTCTTGTAGCATCCTATCATCACTGTGCAATTTGGAAATAATTGTACTTGGGTTTAGAGTAGGTGCCTCACATGCATCTACAAATGGTTTTGCTTTGTTATCCCCCCCCCCATAAAGAATGGGTATAAAACTATGCCAGCTTTTCCCTCCCTGGCACCCTCAATTATATAAGGATTGCAAATCTTTGAATATCAACCAGCTGGAAGATGGTAGAGACAAATCTCTTTCCTGTGATACAACTAGGGAATTATTCCTGATGAAAAGCCATTTTGGTGTAGTAGTTAAAGTGCTGGCTTAGAAACCAGGAGTTCTAGTTCCACCTTAGGCCACCTGGCTGCTTTTGAACTATCACTCTCTTTCAGCCGAACTCAACTCATAGGGTTGCTGTTGTTGGGAAAATAGAAAAAAAAATTGGGTATATTGCCTTGAGTTCGCTATAAAAATAATAAAGGCAGGACAAAAAAATATCTAGAAAGAAAGAAGCTCTCTATATTAGATAAGGAAATATTCCCTACTGTGTTTGGAGGGTATTTTTCTCTCATTTTTTGATTCAATTATTGTTCTATTTGTCTATGCAAGTTGCAGGCACAGGCAGAACTACCTCCCTTCCTACAAGGAAACATAAAGTTCCCAGTGGTATCCAGATGTTCAGAAATAGGCCCCAGGGAAGTCAGGAGAGATACCACCTGTTAGCAATAAAGGAAACCTACAAAGATGGAGCATTAATTGGATTATGCTCAAAGCTTTGTTTCCTTGAGGCAGCCTCTCCTATCCTATTAGCCTCCAGATATGTTGCAGTATAACTTCCACTAGCCATAGCCGCCAAAGGTATTTCCATATGATATAACAGAATAACAGAGTTGAAAGGGACCTTGGAGGTCTTCTAGTCCAACCCCCTGCTCAGGCAGGAAGCCCTATACCATTTCAAACAAGTGGCTGTCCAGTATCTTAAAAACCTCCAGTGTTGGAGCACCCGCAACTTCTGGAGGCCAGTTGTTCCACTGATTAATTGTTCTAACTGTCAAGAAATTTCTCCTTAGTTCTAGGTTGCTTCTCTCCTTGATTAGTTTCCATCCATTGCTTCTTGTCCTGCCCTCAGGTGCTTTGGAGAATAGCTTGACCCCTTCCTCTTCTCTGTGGCAACTCCTGAGCTACAAGGCAATCGGCTTGGACATTCATACTCTTTACCCGTGACGCCTCTGATAAGGGGTAGCCCTTCCACTTGATTAAATATTGGAGTTGTCTCCTGTGCCACCTCGAATTGAGGATTCGTTGCACCTCATGATGGGTTTGGCCTTCTATTACAATTGGGTTTGGGGGCTCATGAGCTAGGGGCCTCAGTGTTGATCCAACCACGGGTTTTAATAGGCTACTATGGAATACCGGGTATATTTTCTCTAACAATCAGGGCAACTTCAATTGCACCGTGACTGGGATGATCTTTTACTATGGGGAATGGCCCCATGAACTTTGGCCCCAATGTCTTGCTAGGGAGTCTTAACCCGATATATTTGGCGGAGAGTTAGACACTATCATGTCATCCACAGCCCTTCTTTTTGTTAAACTAGACATACCCAATTCCTGCAACTGTTCTTCATGTATTTTAGCCTCCAGTCCCCTAATCATCTTTGTTGCTCTTCTCTGCACTCTTTCTAGAGCCTCAACATATTTTTTTTACATTGTGGTGACCAAAGCTAGATGCAGTATTCCAAGTGTAACATTTCTTCTAACTCTCTCTAGTCTTCTTAGCCAATACCTGCTGATTTATTTTACCCTTTATCAGTATTCAGGTCCATATCTATTTGAGCATTCTGAAATTAATCATTGCAAGCAAAAGGAAAACCCTTTCCTTGGATTTCCCCATTAGATTCACTGATGCCCTTTAATAGCAAAAGTTTGCAAGCTTGTTCCAGCATGAAAGCAAATGCAAAATCAGTTAAAGATAGATTGAGTGGCTCTGAGTAGTATTTCCAGAGCTTAGCGAAAGGTCTGGACATGCTTTTAAATGCAAGAAGTTATATTCAGCAAGCATGATTGTTGTGTATAATTGGCGGTTTCCCAGTGAGATTTGAAACTGCCCTAGCATTTCTAGGGTTACAACAGCATTCTCAGATTTCCTATGCAAGCAGTATTTTTTTTTAGCAAAGAGATTTTTATTTCTCTACTTTTTTCAAACACAATGAAAATAAGTGCTCTGCCCCATTTTAAAGCATTTTGTTGGTATTTCTTTGCTTGTCAACCAGAAATCTAGGTTGATTAAAGCAGGAGAAAGTAAAAATATTATTCATCAGCTGATTGTAGATTGGCAGTTTTCTGATTATCATGAGAGGAGAAAAGGTGAGTCAATCATTTGTGGTTATACCACCAAATAAAGGCAGAGCCCTGGTTGAATGACAAAATCATTGACTAGGAAAAGGCCTCTAAATCCATTGAATCCAACCATTTGTCAGAAATGGTGCTTGGGCGGGGGTTGGACTAGATGACCTAAAGGTCCCTTTCCAACTCTGTTAATCTAATCTAATTTAAACCACCTTGTGAAGTACAGGAATCCAAATTAAAACTCCATGACCAATGATTGTCCTGGTGAAGCTCACCACCAATGGCATCTGCATTAAACTGCAGTGATGACAAGACAACATGCTTGCAGTGATGTAATCACACAAATATTACATTAGATACAAATCTACTAAATCCAGGAATTAATAAGATTGCAGCATCACACACATATTGTCACCCATATATGTCCACCCATCTCTCTAGGTAAAAGTTTCCCACTCTTAATGATAGGCATTGCGATATTTTCCCAGTATTCAGTGGGAATCTGCGTTCCATATCTTAGGTTCTGGGTTCTGCATTCTAGGTTGATAAAGAAAAGGTATCTTTTCTGTTATTGGAGGAAAAATCCAGTCTTGTTCCAAGCCAGGAGAAAGACACTGGAAATAAAATGGAAGCAGGCTTCAGGAAAGGAAGTTTCTACTTATTTGGTAGCCAGAAACTAGAGACAGTCAACCACTTTTTGGGGTGGTTGACAAAATTGGGTTGAGAGTGAGTGGGCTTTTATACATTCTTAAGGGCGTTGTGATTGAGATGACTGTTCCTATGCAAGAATATGTTCTTTAATATTTTAATGGCTGTTGCCAGATTCCTATGGGGTCATGTAGGGATCATGGCTGGCTCTACAGGCAAAAGGAGAAATGCAAATCCTTCCGCTCCTTGCCTATTGTATTGCTTATTTGGAGTTTCTGGTTGATCTTTGCTTATGAATAGATTGGTGCAGTCTTTCTGAATGAATACAGAATCTCCATTCCTAAAGACTAGCCTCTTCATGCTTCTGCTTGAGGCTGTTTTCCTACAGCAGGAAGACTGGGGCTGCTTTCTGCCTTTAAGAAAATATTTCTCCATTTCTCCTTCAGGAAAATATTTTATTCTGCCTGTTTTTAATATTAAGAATAAAGAATACTTTATCCTGGGGAAGTGGGGGGGGGTGCTTCCTTCACTGTGATATTCCCACAGCTATTTTAATAAATGTTATCATATCCTCACAAGTGATATAATACTTGGCTGTTGGCACTCGGCAGTAGTCTTAGAATCATATTTGACGTTTCAGCACTCCTTTGACCTTGACAACAGCATGTTATACAAAAAATCATACATCCCAGCCAGTCTATCTAATGAACACCTTTTTCCCCCTCTATATCCTTGCTAGAAATAGAGCATATGTCAGAACAGCTCATTTAAGACAGAAGACAAGTAGAGAATGGCTGATGGAAATGCTCATTTTTAGGAGTGAAATTGAAGAGAGCGATTTAAAGGTCTCACCAAGCTAAGAAAGAGCACATCTTTCATTTGCCTTCCTGCTATATCAGTACCACTGGGCTGACATTTAAATGCTCCTTTCCTATCAGTCTTTTTTAAAAAAGCTTATGAAAAATGAGCGCTAATTAAGGAGTTGGGTGGGTTCCTTCAGTGGTGGGATTCAAAAAAGTTTACTACTGCTTCTGTGGGCATGGCTTGGTGGGCATGGCAGGGAAAGGATACTGCAAAATCCCATTCCCTCCCCATCCCATTAACCTGCTTTCCAGCTCTGTTCTCCTGTGCAGGGCAACAAAAGAAGACCCAGCCAATCAGCTGGGACTCGGAAGGTAGAGAATAGATGGGGCAGGGCCAGTCAGAGATGGTATTTGCCGGTTCTCTGAACTATTCAAAATTTCCGCTACCGGTTCTCCAGAACTGGTCAGAACCTGCTGAATATCACCTCTGGGTTCCTTCAAGCTGATGTCAAGTAAGGCAGCTTGCAATCCAGTAGGATCAGTTTGTGGTCCACTTCATTTTCATAATCAATAATTTCCTAGTTTATTAGGGATTTTTAAAAAGCAGAGTTATAAGAAATTGGTGGGTAGCCCCAATTTTAAACACTTGTTCCACTATCAAGCAAATATTGATTCCAGTATGCAATTAATTAATTGCCAATAATTTTCTGAATTTTCTATAGCCCATTTTATCTGAACTTTATCACTTGCACCTTCTTTACATTTTAAAGAGAGATGCACCTAAAGTCTAAATGACTTGTATTTACCCTGTACTAAAGGCCATCAGGTCCAAATGTCCCATATTCTTCAGACAAGAGATTATCTTTCTCTCTCTTGCCGTTTATATTGGCGTCAGAACATGATGGCATTCCTGATGTTCTCCTTCCGTCATGCCAGTTTGGCCTTTTTCCCCTCCCAGCCTATGTTTAAACAATCTTGGGTTGCATTCTGGAAATGCTCCTGCTTAATCTTGACACTGAGCCATGATGTGTAAACTTTATCTTCCTCCTTGCCATCGTCCTTAGCAAGGAGGTGTATTTGTGTGACCTGACCAGTTTGCCCAGTCATTGGTAAATTTCAGGGGTGGAGTGAGAAGGGAGGGAAAAGCTTGTAATTTAGACAAGCCATTGGCTGTTTGTCAACCAATCACCATCCTCAAAATATTTCTCAACAACATTAATAGGACAATATCTCTCCATAGGTGGCTGCAATAGCAACAACAGCCTGTCAAAGAATGCGGTTCTCCCAGGAAACTATATACCTACGGAATCATGCTAAAGATCCCCCGTTCCTGAAGAATACACGCTGCTTTACAAACAAACTCAAGAAGTTTACAGAGCAATATTCTAGTTTAGTTTTCCTCTACCAGATCTGCTAAATCATACATCCCAGCCAGGCGGCATTCATAAACCGGTTGGCTGGGAATGATGGGAACTGTTAGACCAGCACGTCTGCTGTTGCCTCAGTCCGTAAAACTAGATGAAACCGTGCCTTTATTTTCCCTAACCGCAACTGAGAAGAAGGGGGGGATTTAATTGGACGGTCGCTTGTCTGAAATGGTATGGGTTCTCTTGTTTGAGCAGGGGGGTGGACTAGAAGACCTCCAAGGTCCCTTCCAGCTCTATTTTATTGGGACTCAGGACAAGGGAAGAAGGGCAGGGGATCACAATGGATCGTGTGTCCGTCCGCTCAGCGTGGACATCCTCTCGCCGGTTTAGTTCTCGCGTTGGACTCTGAGGCTTTCCCGGAACGAAGGAGCGCGTTACGCAAGATTAAAGAGTAAAAGATACGCCGCGCTCTTTCGTCCCCGGTTCTGCTCCCAGCTCTCTGCCTCTCCGGCCGGCAGCCGGCTTCCACCTGCCTCTGCGAAGTGCAGCGACCGCGATCCCAGGCGGGAGAGGTCTCTCTGGCAGGCGCCTGACTCGCTGGGTTCCCCGGAAGAAATGGGCTCGCCAAGAACCGGGAGGAAGAGGAGACCTCGCCAGGATGGCCCGGCCCCGGGAGGAACGCAGCCAGATGGCCGTAAGCCTCGTGTCTTCGCGGGGAAAGTTTCAGTCGGGCAGCAGTGAGCGATGACTCGATCCGGCCCGCGAGCTCTGAGTCCCGCCGAGGCCTCCCCCCCCCCGGCCCCACCCAGCGCTCTGCCCTCCTCCCCTGCCTTCCAATTGGCAAGCCCAGCAGCCGGCCCCTAAAGCTATATATGCCTCGATCCGCCGCGCTATGGGACCCGAGCGGAGAGAGCGTAGCATCCTCATCCCGCCGCGCTCCAGCCCTTCCCTGCCGTTGCGCCGAGGGGAGAAGAGATCCCCATCCGACGCCACCGACCCGAGGAAGAGTTTCTTTCGGGTCGCCACGAATCCCGACTGCCCGAGCCTTTCCCGGGGCTAGATCGCGGCCGTTTTAGGTTCCCTTCGTAGCTCTTCTCCACCTTCCTCCCGCGCTTGACTTTTCAGGGTATAGCCCTCCCGCAGCTGGAGGTTCGCGGCGTTTGAACCACCCACCCATCCTTCCATCCAGTACCAGAATTATGAGTTCCCCTTTGAGGCGAGCCGCCCTGCTCAGCTCTCTCCTAAAGCTGCGAGGTCCTGGGAGCGCACCTGCTTTGCAGCAGCAGCAACAGCTGCCCACTTCGTCCGTGTGCGCCTTGGAGCCCAAGGCTCAGGTGCCTTCTTGCCCCATGCACGCTCCCCACTCACTTTCTGCCCTGCCCGGTCCTGTCAAATGGCCTCTGATGGGCAGTCTCTTAGACATCCTCTGGAAAGGGGGGCTCAAGAAACAGCACCAGACGCTGGTGAGTAATCTGTGTTCCCCCACCCAACCCTTCCCAATAGATCCTTTTGCCCAAAGCTAGCATTTGGCTGACTGTTGAGGGTCACGTATGGTAGAATAGGTAGTTAGTTCTTTGAATGGCAAAAGTAGTTGGTAGCCCTCTCCGACCTTAAGGTTTTAATGGCAGGATTGAGAAGGTCTCTTAAGAGCTTGGAAAGTTCTTGCAAGATCATCTAGTTCAGCATCCCCTATGGTTGTGGTGGACTGACCGATTGCCAGATTCCCAGACAGCATCATTCCCTACAGATTGGATCAGGTTAATCCAGTCTTCAACCAATGCAGGGAATCAGTTGCTGGCGCATCCTCAAACGTGTTCCTGCATCTTTCTTTACAAACTCCTTAAGGAAGAAGAAGCAAGCACTTTTTGAGATAACATGTTCTTATATCGCCACACTACAAAGTCCTTAACCAAATGCTTAATATAAGCCTCACCCCCCACCACCACCACCATTTGAATAGATTCATTCTGGTCCATCTTTTGTCTGCAGGAGACGTGTCTTATAGAATGCTAGATAAGTCGATGTGTGCATTGAAAGTTGTGTGTATTGTACGGTATGTTTATTTGCCTCTTCTTGCAAGGAGTTCTGTGACGATGGGTGAGCCCTGGTGATGGAGTCCTTAGCTGCCCGATTTAACCTCCCCTCTTCCTTTCTTTTTCTTTCTCCTAAAGGCTGAGTACCACCAGAGGTTTGGCAAAATCTTCCGCATGAAACTTGGGAGTTTTGACTCGGTTCATATAGGTGCACCCTGTCTGCTAGAGTCTCTCTATAGGAAAGAGGGTGTGTATCCACAGCGCCTGGAGATTAAGCCCTGGAAAGCCTATCGAGACTACCGTAAAGAGGGCTATGGGCTACTTATCCTGTGAGTAAAGACCTAGAAGGACACACACCGCTTTGTACTGAGAATGCCCTGTGCTTATGTTGGGTTGAGGTGTAAAGGCAAAGGATGCTAAGAGCAAATAGTTCAGATTGCTGTTTCACAAATATGGTAGTAGTTTCGTTATTTATAAATATTAAATGGGAGAAAGTCAAAGTGTCATTTATAGGTGGTGGATACTTTGCAATCACATTCAACCTATTTTTTTAAATGTTTTCTTTAAGGTTCTTTGTCTTTTGGGACCACATTTTTATCCTGAAAGCAAACAAGGTTATCAAGGCGAACCAGTGTAGAGAAGCAATTTGCATCATTGTCTGGTTAACTTGGACCTAACCCTCCTGGCAACATTAGAATGGAAAAATAGCAGCAGGGGAAAAAAAGCCAGTTTTAGATCAAATGCACATAAGATAACATTCAAGCTAGAAGGGAAATGCAGAATGTGAAGAATGCTGTATAATGGTGATTTACTATCTCAGTAAAAGTGAGAAATCACTGACCACTTTCAGTGATTTCCTCCAAAGATCAATGACAACAGAAGCATCTAGTACATCTTCCCAAAAGCTAAACAGGACTCTCAAAGTTTTAGGAGAAATTAAGTCAAAAGCATTTCAGAAAAAAACCCAGCATAAACCCACATGCATAAGGTATATTTCCATGTATGCCCAGGGCTCAAGCTTCACTTAAGGGGAAATTTTGTCTTTATTTTATTTAAAGGAAGTAACATATTGGAATGCAAAGTCCTTTTTCCATACTATCAAACTTGATTAGTCTGCTTGTTATCTTCCTTAAAATATATTAGCATTCACTTTCGGAAACTACCCAGGTTTAATATTGTTTTAACATTTCCTCATACACCTTTTATTTTAACCAGGAAATATTAAATTTCTTTTAATCACTTGGATATTTTGTTTTTCACAGAGAAGGGAAGGACTGGCAGAGAGTAAGAAGTGCATTTCAGAAGAAATTAATGAAACCCATGGAAATTGTAAAGTTGGACACTAAAATCAATGAGGTACTGCATAAGAATAGGTGTTCAAAATTATCTCTAAAAGTCTGATCCAGGCACAGGTGTAATTTCAAATTTGGAACACTCTTGTTATTATGTGGATTGCTTTAAAAGAAAGAGGGGGGAAATTAGAAAAGTGTCTCTCCAGAAATCATGTGAAATCTTTCTTATACCAGTTGGAAATCTAGTTGAAACAACAATTTTGAATGCATCCCATTGATTTCCCTGGCATGTACAAATGTACCAATCAGAGAAAAGTGAAGGCTACAATTTCCTTTTTAGCATGCCAAATTTCTATATGCAGGAAGAGGAAGTATTAAAGTGAAGAGCAAATATTCATATCTTAGCCTTCAATTGCAAATGGCTTAAAAGCATATTGCTTAATTTCTATTTCACTTTACTATTTCACTAGTATCCATCAGGTACTACCCTGTTTCTCCAACAATACGGCCTCCCCCAATAGGAAGTCCCAGCATGTTTTATAGGCATGAAATGAAATTAAGCCCCTCCCCCCAAATTAAGGCCTATATTAAAACATGCGAAATGGGGAATGGTG